TGATTTTCAAATCTCTTCCCCAATTTGTCACAAGTTGGCGTCATGTGCTTACAGTAGATGAAACCAGTGTTAGATATGTTCGAATGCCCACACCCATTTTTTTTTTCTTTCTGCTATTCAGCACTACAGCAATGGACAGCGCCAAAACGTTTCCATTAATGACACCTTCCCTTCACAGGGCGTCTTAATTTTTTGGAACCCAGGGAAATGTTTCCAAGGGCAGGCAGTCCTCATAATCCTAACTCTAATTAAAGATAACTGACGTGTATTCCAAAGTGACATAGGACTTCAACAATTTATTTTTGAGAAAAATAATATTTTTCTGCAGGCAAAAAAAAATTAATATTATGAAAATAAAGTGATATATTGGTGCCTTGAGGTACAAGTTACCTGACTTCAAATTGTTGTTACTTCCAGTTTAATTTGACTGTTTTTACATAATGTGGTTTGTGAGTAGCAATAACAATATTAGAGGAATGTGATTCACAAGCGCCGCGCCAGCAGTGGGTTTTAGTGGTTCATTTGTGCATCTGTCTACATTTCTGTTAAGTAGTATGCTGTGAGATTTTTCTTTGTAAAATATGTGCCTTGGTTCAATAAAAGATTGGCAAACACGGAGCATTTGATGCATTGAGTGCATTAGCGCCCTCGTGTGGCTGAATTCATCAATGCGGCTGTCTTGCAGAACTGCCCAAATTGGCAAGCAGTTACTTCTATGAAATCAAGTGTGAAAACTGGAATCAGTCACAGCCATTGAGAGGCGATAAATATTCTCTGAATTTTGCTGGACACATTTTGACAAGCAGTCAAAACATTGTGACCAACAGCAAAATAACAATGTTAAATATAGCAAATGTATAAAATATTTTACCTTTACAGAAACGATGTTCACTTTGTTGATTCCATCAAGTGCCTGTGGAGGTGTAGGAAACACAATTCAAGGTGTCCCTCTATCTCATGCACGCGCACACCCACACACACACACACACACACACACACGCAGACACACACAGGCACATGCAGACAGCATACTCTGTCGAGGGTATCCCACCTGACAAACAGGTGGATAATAATCGGCACTTACTTTTTTTTCTCATGGGACCGTAAACCATTAGCTAAACTATTAAGCGTTCCTTGCATGACCACAGGCTGTATTGTTAACAAATTCTGCTCTCCTTCTCTTTCTTTTTTTTCAGCCAGCTCACCTGGCCTCTACTGACAGCTCCCTTTTGTCATGGTAACACCGCTCGGTTTGAGCTCAAGCCCTCGGCTGTTGTGGGTCGTATGTATTTGATCACATCAAACACATCCGAAAAACAGTCCCTCTTTTCGGCCGTCCGTCGTAACGATAACACCTCGAGGCAGGTAATCAGGGAATGGATTTCCTCCTGAATGTCATCCTCTTCCTAACAATGCCCACTTTATGGTGTAAAAGCCCACTGGAGATGTTGGTAGAAATCATCCCACAGCATCATACAGTTTGTAAAATGCAAATGTTCAGTTGTCTAGATTCATCTTAAGATCTCCTGGAAAATCTTTATCATTCCCACCACAGTTTCAACTGTAGAAAAAAAAAAAACGAAGCATGATCTTGCCACCACCATGCTTCACTTCAGGTAGGACATTGTTGTGGAGATGAGAAGTGATGTGTTTGCACGAAACATACCTTTTTGGAATTCTGGCCAAAAAGTTCAATCTTGGTTTCACTGCACCATAACAAACATGTGGTTTGACCGTGTGTTGTGGTCACAAAAACCAGGCATGTGAACTGGGGTGTGTAGACTTTTTATATGCATGCAGTCAAGTATGACTCGGGCAAATACAACTGCTGACATGTTCAGATTTAATGCTAATCCCAACAATACACTGCATCTTTTTCAACATTTTTGGGTGTTGCAATAACGTGGGGGAAAAAAATGTATTTTTAACAATCGGTTTGTTGACATAAAAAAATGATTGAATAGAATGCCTTTGTTCAAATTTTCAAAACAGCGCAATGTAAACTTTTCTGAAACTATACATTTAACTTCACCAACACATTTTAATCTTTGAATCACCTTGTAGGATTTGTTTTTCTTGCAGAATAAGATCATTATTCTCTCATTTTTATGATCACGCTACAGTGCGTTTTGATTCAGATACAATCAGATTTAGAAATATACACTGTTTTTATTACAAGTATTCTTTAGCCTCATAACATTATTGCCTTCATTATTTTAAACTTGCTGTCACAGTATGAATTAGAAAAAAAATATCCACGCTAAAAAAAGTTTCTTTTTTTCTTATATATTTTCCAGTTCTCAATCCTTCAAATCACGATACTCCACAAAGGTTGAATTGAGGCAACGGGACTCCTTTTGTTTATTGAATGTGCTGGTTTTTTTTTTCTTGTTTTCCAAAACGTTCAAAAAGGCTATGAGACCAATATTTTGTTTATTACTTGCATGTCAGTAATTCCTGAGCTGTTTGCCGGCATAATAAACACTGCTGTCTATCTTCATAAATTCCTTGGCAACACACGTAAGAAAAGAAAAAGACAATTTACAAAAAGCCGTCTATAATGACACCTATGCTGACCATATAAATCCAGTGAATAAAGGAAACGTGAGCATCTCTTACTCTCTTTAGTCAAGATTCAGATCAATAACTTTTTTTTTAAGTGAATGAATCATCTCAATTAGCCAATGCTGAGCAGTACAATAAATGAGGGATTTATACGAACAGACCAAGCGCACCCATTTGCTTTTCACTTCACGCCCAAATCTACAGCATTTGTATGAGAGCCATAACTTTGTCTTTGGGGAATGGCAAATGACTACTCGTCGTCATGTGTGCACTTTGAAGACTTGTGCCCCCCCCCCTCCCCCCGAAAGGCCAGAATGACTTCTTCTTGCGTTTCGTGAAGGCAACACACTGTTTCTTTTCAGAGACATTTTGTACTTCATTTTTAATGCATTTTGTCCGCCGCCACAGTACATTTCTGACTTGGCTTGCCCCGCTAATTGATTTGACACGCTGGATCCAATGTCCTTTTCATGATAGTCAAACTTTACTATGACTTTTATGGACATATAATGTTTCCACATGCTCTCTTGTCACATAGTTGTGTGTGTGTGTGTGTGTGTGTGTGTGTGTGTGTGTGTGTGTGTGTGTGTGTGTGTGTGCCCCCAAAGCAAAATGCAATACAAATATTGAATTTAACATGGGGGAGGAAAAAAAAGGAATGCAAAAAAACCTTACATCCTTTATTTGATGCTTTTTCCTGCTTGATTTGCATATTCGTCGGTTCTCTTGAAAGTTACTTGATCTTTATTAATAGTCACGAGAGAATGTTAGTTATAACAATGCACCGGTTTGTCCTGCGGGGGTCATGACCAGTTATATCTTGGGGATGTCGGTCACTCAGCAGCCTATTGTCTTATTCCAGGGGGAGAAGGGGGCCAAAAATGTATCGGTCTGTTAAACACGCCTAATTATCATAATTATCACAACTTGACAAGGCTTCAGTAAGTCAAATGATCCCTCATGTGCTTCTATGTGTCCCTAATCGAGAATTTGCACGGCTGTGTTACACTGCCGTGTGTCTCCAACACATGTCCTCGCAGCTCTCATTGTTGCTGCGACCATTTGATGAAGCTTTTTTTTTTTCCCTAGGCTGTATTGTGTAGTTTCAAAAACGAAACAAAAAAAAGACGTGCATCACATTTGAGCGCACTCATTATATGTCCAATCGGATTTGAAAGTTCATATTTCCATCTGTGCTTTTCGGGGCATTGAATGTGAACAACATGGCACCACTTTGTAAGGTGTTTACTGCCTTGTCGTAACACGCGGCCTGCAACATATTATTAGACATAATGCTGAATTAATAGGAATAAGCAACTAGTGTAAATAATCCAATGCACAAGATTATTATACAATAAATGAAAACTGTAAAAAAAAAAAAAAAGGGGAACCACTCTTGCAAATTTGTAAACACGTTTTGCAAAACGTAAAACTAAATTGTGCAAATGTAAAATTTGAAAATGTAACACGATATATCTGAAAGAGGGGTAAAAAAGGTGAATGCTTGCCTCCTGCTGTCCATCTAATATCTTGGCAAGTGTAAACAGATCCATGATTTTTACGAGTGTAAGAAAATAATGTTTTGGCCCTCAGGGGGGAAAAAGCCTCCATCAGTCTGATTGTTTTCATTTCTATGCTTTGCCTTTAAAGACTTTCATTATTTTTTCCAGACCACATTGCAAAAATACCATTAACAGGTTATGATTGCTATTTGCATACTGTGTCACGCTTGTTTAAAAAAAAAAGAAAAAAACCTTAATGTTTCCACATTCCATATCATGTCATCCAAGCAATGCATTTACAGTGGATATACAAGTAAAATCCACACACCCCTGTTTGAATGCCATTTTTTTTGTGGGGAATCCCCCCCCTCCAACTAAATAAGATAAGAAAACCTTTATTTGTCTCACAATGGATAAATTTGCAATCTACAGCAGCAAAATTTGGAGGGAAGAAACTAGAAAAAACATGATTTGCATGCACAGATAGATTTTTAAATGTATCTGGAATTTTTATTTTATTTTTTTTAAATGAGTCATTTCACAACATTGCTCATCACTGAAGAAAACAATTCCTTTACTGAAGCATGATGGTCACAGCATCATATGTTTTGGGGCTGTTTTTCTTCCGCTGGAACCAGGGCCTTAGACACGGTGGAAGCAATTATGAACAATTCCAAAACAAAAAGCATTGAGCGTTAGCACAAAACCTTCAGGCTTCTGCAAGAAGACAAAAAAAAAAACAAAACTGCTAGAACACTCTAAAATGTATTTTGGATTAATCACAGGAACTTAAAATGGCACCAGGTAGGAAATGCGTTTGTTTTAAACCTTTTATTCATGTATGCTTGGATAGTCATCTGCAATGCATTTTAATTTTTTTTTTTTTAACCTATATAGAAGCGCAGTGTCAATATTCAAACTGCATGTAATATTAAGCTTAAAATATTTAGGAATAAAATCTTGTTCTTTTGATGAACACTTAGGCCTACTAAGCTACTGTATTTTGGTCACGGTAATGTTACTTGGGGAGTTTAAAGTATTTTTGTAGGTGGTACTTGGTGTAAAAAAGTTCGAGAAACATTGGTTTAGATAATCTATTGCAGACAAGTAGACTGTGAGTCGTCCCTCGAGGGAAATTAAGGCAATCAAAAGACAATGTGTAGTTATGATCTAATCCTACAAGACATCAACCAGGTAAAAGCGTCAAACAAGTGCTTTTTAAAACCTGTGAAAAAGTTACATCCACCATAAGCCTGTGACATCCCAGCCAGATGACCCTCGTGAGGGCAAGCCACCATCCAGAGGAGCTAACTCGGGGTCCAATCAGAACGCCCCGCAACCTCTGGACGTCCGGAGACAGAACCAATCACCAGGCTCGCCTGCGAATTACAGGGGACAGCCACCACGGATAAAATTGTTTGACTACCCCTCCATCCTCCCAAAACATCCTCACAATCCTCACAGGACGGCTTTGCGAAACTCCATTAAGTTTGACGCAAAACCCCCAGAAGAACTTTGCCCAATTCGGTTCTTATTGACAGTTTTTTTATTGGTGCGAACAACCTGTTGAGCGAGGAAAGCAGGCAGGCTTCACCCTGCAAATAAGTGGTGCTGCTGCACTTATTTTCTTTTTTGGGAGGGCTGGGGATTCAAAACAAGAGAACAAGCATTTTGGAACGCACTTTTTTGGGGGTGGGGGGCTGACAGACGATAAAGAGGCATGACAGCACTGGCAGGAGGTTTAACGAGAATGATGAGACCCGGTCCACACCAGAATTACGCGCGGGGAGGCTATTCTCTGGAAGGTAAATCCATTAAAAAAAATAAAAGCAAATCTATTATAATAGGATGTGGGTTTTGTTTATTTAACGCCAGGGCATGTTGAATTGCCTCCCGCTATTTTACTACTTTCCCATCGTGTTAATATTTTTATGCATTTATATTTTGGGGCTGACCCCACTTCACTGGACCATCGGCAGTGTCCACCCCACTGGGCCAGGGTCGCGTCAACCAGCTCGGCGGCGTGTTCATCAACGGCCGGCCTCTGCCCAACCACATCCGCCACAAGATCGTGGAGATGGCCCATCACGGGGTCCGGCCCTGCGTCATCTCCCGCCAGCTGAGGGTCTCTCACGGCTGCGTGTCCAAGATCTTGTGCCGCTACCAGGAGACTGGATCCATTCGGCCCGGAGCCATCGGAGGGAGCAAGCCAAAGGTACGAATGCCATTAGACAGATTGAAATTTTTGACATGCATGTGACCTTATTGCAACACTTTTACGATGTTTTTTTTTCTTTCTTCCATTTGTCATCGAGATACTTTTTTTTTTAAATGGGGTTTTCATTTTTTTTTTGTATCGCAAAAATATAAACACAAACAGAATGTAAAACTATGCTCGACAACAATATATTATTTTTCTTATCCGTTCCGGAATATATTGCATCTAGAAATAAGCACGCATTTTTTTTTCTGAAACATAAACACAACCGCATTTTGTCTGCATATGAAAAGTCAGATTATTATTTCTTTCCCCCTGAAACATTATTACATGCTCAAACAAACAAAAAAAGAAACATGCATTTTAGGAGCAGAAATCTGATCATATATGCTGGATTTAAAAAAACGTTACAATTTTTAATCTTTTATTTTGGAACATTATTTCGTGTCTGAAGGAATAATCATAAGCGTTTTTTTCCTCAGAAATATAAGCACAAACAGCAATTGAAAAACATGGTGCATGTAAAAAGTGATCGTGTTTCTTTTCCTACCATTTTGTGCAGACTTGTTATTCTATGTTAAAAATAAGCATGCTTTTTTTTGCAGAAATATGAGCTCAAAGGGCATTCAAAATGCTATATATAAAAAGAGCATGTTTTTAAAATTCTCATTTTGATATTAAAATAATGTTGCATGCTTATAGAAATAATAATTATGTGAGCTCCAATAATTAATGCTGTACTGTATATAAAAATCGAACGTGTTTTTGTTATTCCTCGTTTCTAATAAAGTTAATATATCTCCAACAAGAACAAACATGCTGTACGTAAAAAGTGATCATATTTTTATCACAAGTCATTTCTTGAATGCGAGTAGCTCTTTACTTTCACTAAGATACAGAAAACTACATCATGTGTATTCTTTGGGAGAAATGTGAGCACGAGCATTTTTATTAAGTGCTGAATATATAAAAGTGATCGTGTTTTTATTATTCGTTCCTCATAAAGCAAAGTGCTTCTCCAGAATTGGACAAGAAGATTGAAGAGTACAAGAGGGAAAACCCGGGAATGTTCAGCTGGGAAATTAGGGACAAGTTATTAAAAGATGGCATCTGTGATAGAAACAGCGTTCCTTCAGGTAAATCAAAAAAAAAAAAAAAAAGATCTGGTCACTGAAAAAAAAAGTTCATTTCTGCTTGTGTAACGTTTGGATTTTTCCTTCAATGATTTTTTTTCTTCTTCCCAATTAAAGTGAGTGCCATCAGTCGCGTTATGAGGTCCAAATTCGGCAGTTTGGGTGACGACGATGAGGATGGTGATGAGGTGGTGAAGAGGGAGATGGAGGAGAACGAACCGAGGACTAAACACAGCATCGATGGCATCCTGGGGGACAGATGTAAGTTTCTTCCGTATTTTCGTGTCACACTACACGCAATAGTCGTTTTTTTTTTTGTAAAAAACGAAACTGCACACTTCTTTCTCCTAACTTTGTGCATGATCAAAATCTTGACAAAAGTCGGTCGAAACTCACAATTTCGTTTGAGGCCGAACGAAGCAAAGTGGGTGATGAATTATTCGTATTTATGCAAAAAAAAAAAAAAGGCAGTTCGATTGGTGGAAATGGAGCGGAGCCAATTGACACCTGTTGATTTAAGACCTGTTGCATTCTCTTTCCCCTCGAGGAAATGGAGACTCAATGGAGTTAATGATTGATGAAGACTGTAACTCCCTGCGGTGTCCTTGTAAAATCACTTGCACGTTCGTGCACAGATTTCACAACGACGGCCGGTTAAATTCCCCCTTCGGATAATCGCTTCAGAAAACGGACGGCTGGATGGACGTTTGAAAAGATTGACTTCAACCGATGTAAACACCAAAACAGGTGATTTGAGCTCAGTTTTGCGAGTCCGAATTGCGCATTTAGCGCTTTTGTCACGGCTCTGTGCACAAGGAAACGCGTTCCTCGCCCCGAGATTCAAATCCCAATCTTTGCTTCTTCACTTTCATCTTCAACAAGGAATGACTCCCCGCCTCGATCTTTTTTTTTTTTTTTTTTCCTCGAACCGCCTCGGGCGCCAACATTCACTCATTATCTGGGGGCAATTCGCATCCCTAAACTTCACCGAACGGCTCCTAGTCAGAAATGACTTTTACCACATCGCAAATAAGCAATTTAATACGTGCGCCCCATTGATGTCAAATGAAAACGTTTTACGTGCATGCAAACATTGTCCAATCAATAATAACCTGGTGTCATTGTCATATAGTATAATTTGTCGTCGAGCTAAAATTATGTTTACAGCAATTTAAGACCCACACATTTTCTTCTTGTTTGTTCTCATTTCCCAGAGTTATTTCCTTTCGATAAAATCAAAAAGGGCATGGAAAAGTTTAGCATAAAACTTAAACTATGGAAAATATACTGAAATGTGACAAATAAGATTATAGATAGATAGCTAACCAGTTAGCCAAATAGCTAGCTAATGAGCAGCTACATAAATACATATTTTCACAGCGTCAACCACTTATAGCACACACACCGCGGATATGCTTAATGTGCAGCGATAAAAATGAATCGCTAAACAATTAAAAAAACTAATCAAAGGCGCACAGGAAACGTTTTTAAAATACAATACATCAAATCAAGTTAACCTCCGCTAATATCTAAAAATCATTGGACTTTTTTTTACAGTTTGTTGATGAACTGCTTATATGAAGTATTTACATCAAATAGACGAAATCCTACAAACAGCTTTCGTCCCATTCATATACAGAACAGCAGTATATCTTTCTTGTGTCTCTTTGTGGAAGTAGTTGTTGTTTTTCCCTTTTATGGCTGCTCATTAGAATATGAAAAGGGAGCTTTCGGGGCCAGGGAGCAGGGGGGTGACTCAAGGAGAGTGTCTTCTGGCCAAATATTGATTAAGTAGGTGTTTGCAGAGGCCATTGTTGCGGCGCAGAGAGGCCTGTTGCTCTCTGCCCTTTTCTCCTCCAGCGCTTGTTGACTTTCCTTAACTGCTCACATCAAAGCTGACTCATTTAGATTTATTTGTCTGGGAAAAGGACAGCAAAAAGGTTTGGGAGATGCATCCAAAGTGCTGGTCAGGTTTGCCTTGGGGTCTGCGTGGAATTAGCAAGCGGGTCTGTCGGGCAGTTGTTTGTGTTTTGGACGTTAAGCGTGTGCAGAATTTCAACCGCAGTGCTGGAGTGAGTTGTTTGTGTTTATTTATCACATTTGAGTATGCAGCTTTTGAATTCACAGTGAGGCAATCCATTAAAGACCCTGTAAGGTTCATTCAAAAATGTGTTTGTAAATACATTTGCAGGTTATTGGAGAAAATGTGCAAAGACTAGGAACTATGTAGTGCTAAATTATGGAGCTATTGTGTTCAACTCGAGTCCCTCTTACTCTGATCCGCATATGATTATTTGTTAGCTCACATGCTCGCTGGTGTTTAGTGATGACCTAATATGCTCGATGAAGTTGCATTCACGCTTACCTTTTTTTTTTTTTAAATCGGACAGATTTGGCAGAGTTGTTCACCACCTTTTTCGCTGCGGTGTGACAAATTTAGAAGGCATATTTTATTTCACTTGACAGGGACTTTAAGTGATAGCATCCTCGCTTCTGTTTACTACTGTTTGCATTTTAGCCTCATTGAACTAATTCAAGCAGGCCGAGAAAGAGGAGTCGCCACTCTTGCAAATATCCATTTATGGCAGCGGGGGGAGAGAGGGGAGGGAAAAGAACAGCTCAGAAATGCAAACAGTCAAAGGGATATAACTTTTTCTTTTCAAGGGAGTCCCGCCGTGCCGCGTTGAATGAGGGCCCGCTTCTTTCAAATGTGCCATGGTGAACGCAGTCAACATGTAATAATTGCTCTCATTGAGGTGCATTCCAGCAATCTGCCGCCATTCTGCAGCCTCAATTGTGCAGCGGGGCAGGCGAGCAACCCCGAGGGCTCGAAGGAATCAAGCTTTGACAAAAAACATGAAAGATTGCACCGCTTTTCTCGCTAAGGAGCCTAGCGGGACTTTGTTTGTGTCAACACGCCGACTCCCCGCAACTTTGGCGCGAGGTAGATTTGGAGCAAGCGAGGCGAAACCGTAATCCAATTCGAAAGCTTTCTAACATCCGAGAATATAAACAGCAGCATTTTTACAGCCGGGCCGCAACCTTGTTCAGTGGTGATGGCGTTTCCACGGTGAATGTGTTTCAATATGGGATGTTTAGCGAGACAGTCGGCCTCAAAGTAGCCAGCGGAATGTCTGCTCGAACGGCTACAGTTCCGTTTTTCCTCTCAGGGCACGGGTAATGGAGAAATTTCTATGCGGGCTTCGTTCTCTGTGTTTTTGGGGCTTATAATGGCAGTTTCATCAAGAGGCCCGTTTCGAAAATAGTTTACGGGAACGGTGCCAAAGTCTTAAGCCTCGATCGTAGCATTGTTGATTTTGTGTCATTTTTCACTGCAGCTTTGATGTTGACATAGTAAAATAGGACACATTTCATTTCGAGGCAAGTTCCAGCAATTTGATGTTTAGTTATCAGTATGTGCAGTTTGAGGATAGAACTATATGCTACACAAACACTGTGAAGTTAGGCCCCAAAGTAGTCATATCCTGTCCAACTTTGATTAGAAAAACGTTTTTTTGTCGGATGAGTATCGTATGGCTGAAAATAATACGAGGACGTGGCAAATGACTGTAATATGTGAAAGATTTAGATTGTGCAATATTTTGCCAAATCTCCTTTTTTTTTTAATTTAGAAAACAAATTTGACAAAAAGTTCTACAACCAAAACTAGTCATATCCCTCAGTCCAGGCACTTGGAGTTGATTAGAAAGCTCTTGACCACGTGTGTCAAACCGAAGGCCCTGGGGTCAGATTTGGACTGCCACATCATTTTATTTGGACCGTGAAAGCAAATGATGTGCATCGACTTCATGTTTCTTTCTAAAATATCAAAAGTGCAAATTCTCTTCACTTTAAAAAATATTGAACTATTGTAAACATTTCTTCTTGTTACCAATTCCCCTTTTAAAAAATATATATTTAGGCGGTACTTGAATTTGCTGGATATTAGCATGATTTTTTTAGAATGATTTTTCCAATCACGTCAGAGATATGAAAAATTTTTACAAATGTAAAACAAAATAGAAACATGAAATAAATATATCTTGCAATGTTGTTAACATTTGCTAGCTTGTTTTGGCAGCGTGTTGTAAAAATAACTAAATAAATAAATAAATAAAAATGATGGCCAGGATATAAATCCTTTTGGGTTCAACTGTAACGTATTATCATTGGATTTGTATTATATTACCAAACAATTTTGTCATAACCAGGAAATAATTATTTCCCGTGTACCACCGCAAAAGCAACACGTCTGACTTTTGCACGTTACAGTATGTATACAGAGTGCTGGAATTCCTTCCCACTGTCCCACTTCTCTTATATAAACACACTTAACACTTTCATTGGAATGATTCTCAAAACTCTGCACCCCCCCCCCCTGAAAAAAGAGTGAAAGCAAATCCACTCGAGCTGATCTGCAACTGAATGCGACTCTATGCTTCATTAAAGCCTCTTTCTCTGTTGGCACCAGCATTGTGATCCTCCCAATATTAATTCAAAGGACAATTAATGAATTGAGGCCAACTTTGAAGTAATGGGCCGGGGTCTCGCCCTATGCCGGCCCCCTCAGCACTGATGTACTCTCCTCCGCATTCTCCCCGCTAACCCCAGAGACAGCGTGAAGTGGCTGAAAGAGAAGCCATGAGCAATGGAAGGTCAAGGAGAGGAGCCCCAGTAGAAAAGGAGCTCTCTATTTCCTTGGAAGTATTAGCCAAGCAAAACTCTCTGATGGTGAGGATAAAGGAGCGGGAAGAGAAAAAAAAAAAGGGGGTCGGGGGGGCGAGGAGACTCTGCAAAGAGGAGCACAATGGGATAGTTAATTGACTAAAGCCAGACAGCGTTGTCAATCACTTAACTTTGTTTAGCCTACCTTCTTTTTTTTTCCTCTCCCTTTTTGCCCTTTTTTTTTTATCAGTGGGCACATTGTGGACATGCCAGCGCCGCTGGGCCCATGTTTTGAGTTATGCCTTTTTGATTCAGTCCTTAAAGTCATCGATGCTGGAAGTTCGCAGCCTCATACAGTTTGAATTTGCCTTTGCCACCACAATGGAGTTGAAATTTTATACTTGACTTGCATATGGATTGTTTTATTTCAAGTTTCATTGAAGAGGCTTTACAAAAATATGGCATTTACCATTTTAGAATTGCAGCGATTTTATTCAGATTCCTGCATCGCCTTTGGAGAATGTCAATTCCTCGCCCTCATAAATGAAAAAAAAAAATGGTTTTGATTACAAATATGTAAACTGTCAACATATTTA